CAGTCAAGTGAGCATTCAAGTCGGCAGGAAAGGCGCGAGCTCCCACGTAGGGGTCAACACATAATTCCCCAAGTATCGCCGAAGTTTTACTAACATTTTCTTCAGAATAATATGCCAGACATGGGTATTTGAGAGTCAAGAATGCCGAAGTGATCGCTTTTCCTGTTCAATTTTACTTTCGGAAAATCATAGCTACATGTACATGTAATAGTGGTTGACGTGTCATCAGTCTTATGATGTCATCAGTCTTATGATGTCATCAGTCTTATGATGTCATCAGTGTTATGATGATTCGTGGGCTAATGACTGTGTGGTGTGTTTGGCGGCTAATATCTGTCAACTGAAGAACTCCTACCTGGAAACACTCCATTCTTCGTGCAACACTACCGGAGGAACGGTTACCGGCTTTCACTGGTTCTAAAGCCTGACAAAGGAGTACGCTCTGGACAGTTATCTGGCGTAAGTCTTGATCCGTTTTATGCACATCTTGTCCGCTATTATCGCTGTAAGAAAAAAACAGTTTGTTGTACATGCAGTGCATTTTGTCTATTTGCGTTCTTCTCTTGGGACGGGCGTACAGGGTCTTTGGAAGTCAGATCGACGGACAGCGAGAAAGTGTATAATTATGTGTGAGCGTATGTGAGTGCGTGAAAGAGTTTGAGGGTGACAGAGAGAGCATGTGTTTATGCGGCCATTGTGTGTGCGTATGTGTTTGTTGGTGTGTGTGTGTGTGTGTGTGTGTGTGTGTGTGTGTGTGTGTGTGTGTGTGTGTGTGTGTCTGTGTGTGCCTGTGTCGTGGCATGGGCCAAAGAAGCGTTGGCGAGACACGATTGTCGGTGATCTGCGCTCACTGGATATTCCGAAGTCCGAGTGGTATCGGCTCGCACAAGATCGATCGGATTGGCGCAGGTGGGTCCACCAACATCGTCTTCCTCCCCCGGTACCGAAGGACTTTCACTGCGCATGCGGCAGCGCGTTTAGGAGAAGTGGCGATTTGAAGCGTCACATCAAGTACTGCCCAACTCAGTAGCCTATCATCTCCACTGGAGATGGAGCGTCAAAGGTCAGGTTCAAAGGTTTATGTGTGTGTGTGTGTGTGTGCACGTGGGTCCCTCCGGGGCGGACGTGACCCTAGCGGTAGTGGCTCTAAAGGACAGGACAGGACAGGTGTGTGTGTGTGTGTGTGTGTGTGTGTGTGTGTGTGTGTGTGTGTGCGTGTGTGTGTGTGTGTGTGTGTGTGTGTGTACTTTCTCGTACCTGAAAGTCCAATTCAGATTTCTTTTACAGAACTCTATATTGGATAGCCAGTGCTCACGTGTTGTCGTGTCTTTGCAGCTGGCAACCGTAACTATAACATCACATCGAGCGTAGTGGAACATAAAATGGAATATGAGAGTCATGTTGCTTATCATCCTGAACAGGCCTGGCCATTGCTTGATCAACTTCAACCATAGTAGCCACTCCGCCTTGACTCCATGTTTGTGTGCATCAAAATAATTAGTATACGCGCGCGCGCGTGCGCGTGTGTGTGTGCGTGTGTGTGTGCGTGTGTGTGTGTGTGTGTGTGTGTGTGTGTGCGTTCAAGGAGAGTGGTGTTGGAGATGTGCTCCTGCCATTGTGTTACTCTACGAATATCCAGCAGGAAACGAACACAGCGGTGATGAAAGGCTGCACGCCGACGAACATCCACGGCCTCTCCTTGAACGAGCCAAGGTACAGTCGATCGAGGAGGCACTGAAAACGCGTCGACTCCGCTGGTTAGGCCATGTTGCTCGAATGGATGACTGCCGTATGCCAAAGTGTATCCTCCTCGGCGAACTGGACAAGACCCGGCCACGTCATGGGCCCCGGAAGCGGTGGCGGGACAATGTTGTGTCCGACATGAAGGACCGCCAGATAGCGGACTGGTACGACCTCGCCCAGGATCGCAGAGAATGGAGATCAGCATGCAGCACCATCCCTCCGACCAAGCCCGTCACCTTAGACTTCGTTTGCACTTCTGGAAAGCGCTCTCGCCGTTGCCAGGACTTGACTCGCCACGCCCGATTCTGCTCGTGACTTGAACACTGTTGGTCCCTCCGGGACCTGCTATCATCTCCGGATGGGCATATTGTATTGCATTGTATTGTATTGTGTGTGCGTGCACGTGTCCCATATGGTGCAGTGGTATGTGCAGCGATTTCCAATTTCGATAGGTTGCGGGTTCGATTCCCGACGATTATGGTCACACACGTCTTTCTTCTCTTTCTCAGACTCTTCCTGACTTTTCTTTCATTCTCCTGGGTGGTTACCAACAGCCAGTGCATGCCGGAGTATGTGGTGTGATGTGTGTGTGCGGGAAAAAAAATGAAAAAAGACCAAAAATAGGGATTCACTGGCCAGAAAAAGTCACTTCAAATAGCTGTATGGTGTAGACCAGGCTGAATAGTGACGGTCAATTCTTCAGCCTTGCAAGCTGTTGAATGGTGCAATCCCAGCACAAGTTGCTATGGCTTCTGCCGTAGCATTTCTATCATCGCCTACGGCGATGGGCGTCAAAAGGTCCAGGTGTGTGTGTGTGTGTGTGTGTGTGCGCGCGAGAGAGTGAAAGGGAGAGTGGCTGAGAGAAAGAGGGAGAACGAGAGAGAGGGAGAAGAGAGGGAGAGGGAGAGGGAGGAGAGAGAGTGAGAGATAGAGAGAAAGAGAGAGACTTCTTATTTACAACAGATTTAGTCCTAGTCAGTCAAGTGACAAGTCTGTCGTCAGGGAGCGATACTGACTAACGCTGCTGTCTGGTGCTCACAATACTCAGGAGGTGATTGTGAGAGTAGAAATGTAGTGACACTGAGACCTGTCACTGTGTGAAATTACATTTTAGTGTCTATCCCTAGACGCTAGTAGTGTTAAGTCTCAAAGAGCACTACATCATGTGTATAGTGCTCTTGGAACTCAACTGATTAAGGGTACATTCACCCAAACACCGTGTAGTTAGCACAAAGAGTAATGTTTTCTTGCAGATTTGCATTTAACGCTAGGCAATTGACAATTGAGCAAGAAAACTACTGTAAAAGTCGGTCTCGGAAGCCTTGATAAAGAAAGCCTCAGCTCGTTTGTTTGAATACACCACCTCGCTGTCTCACTGCGTCGCCATCTCACCATCTCACTGCCTTGCTCTATCACCATATCACCATGTCACTGCCTCGCTGTTTCACCATGTCACCATCTCAATGGGTCACTGCTTCACCATTATCACCATCTCACTGTCTCGCTGTTTCACCATATCACCATCTCAATGGGTCACTGCTTCACCATATCATCATCTCACTGCCTCGCTGTTTCACCATATCACCATCTCACCGCCTCGCTGTTTCACCATATCACCATCTCACTGCCTCACTGTTTCACCATATCACCATATCACTGCCTCGCTATTTCACCATATCATCTCACTGCGTCACCGTTTCACCATATCACCATCTCACTGCCTCGCTGTTTCACCATATCACCATGGCATCTCACTGCCTCACTGTTTCACCATATCGTCATCTCACTGCCTCACTGTTTCACCATATCACCATCTCACTGCCTCGCTGTTTCACCATATCACCATCTCACTGCCTAACTGTTTCACCATATCACCATCTCACTGCCTCGCTGTTTCACCATATCATCATCTCACAGTTTCACCATCACACTATCAAGGTTGGCTATCACCCTTCTCTCTCATTCAATATTGGCATTACTTGCCACGAGATGATGCAATAATAATTATCACTCCCCCCTCACGTGACCGCGGACTCCTGCATATACACTCACACAATAACCACACAACTGTTTGGGGATAGCGCGCTTATTGTATTATGCCAAACTTGACACGCTGAGTCCAGCTTGACTCAGCTGAGTCCCTAACTGCAATTTACTGCTCTAACATGAAGCCGTGCCTGGAAGAAGGGAAAGAGCGAAAAAAAAAAATTCTGGCCTTCTGCAAGCAATAGCAAGTAATGAGTGACGGCTGTGTAAGGTCGCACAACCATGCAGTCGACCGGATGATGGTGAGTGTCCGGCACACATCTTGCTCTGTTTTTCGATTTTGACAGCACGCCACAAGGCGAGGACGCGCAGCGCCCCCGACCACAACCATAACCCGGCTGGCAGAGTCCCGGTCTTGCGACCATTTGAACCGTATTGGGAAAACCCACCGGGTTATGGTTGCAGCCAGGAGCACCACGCGCCCCCGCCCCGCAACACGCTGTCAAAATCGAAAAACATGTTAAACTACCAAGCAAGGCTTCTGTATATATCTTGCTCTGCTGCTCCACCTGCGCATACCTGATACGGTGGTGCGCTTACGGGCGGGCTGCCTGGGCCCCAGATGCCTCCTTGATGCGCCACGGAGTGCCGTCGAAGCACCTGTATCACTTCGGTGATCCAAATGCGAATGCAGCCTTGCCGGTCGCCCGCCGGCCTGCCGCCTACGCGACCAGCCTGAGACTGGCCCTGCCGCATTTGGCGCTTCTAAACGCTGCGATCCGGTAGACAGCTCACTGGGCTGCCAAATACGTGACTGGCTTGAGGACAGTTCCATACTGGGCAGGGCGCCCAGCTCAGGTCGCACGCCATAGCGGCGTGAGCTGGGCGCAGTGAGGGTTGGTGATAACTACAGTTTCCTTCTTCCTCCTCCGGAAACTTCCATTAATACCAACCACACAATACTGTCATTACTGCATCTCCTCATACAAAAATCACACAGAGTCACGTGTACCACATTGGCGTACACGTGTTTTCTATGTGTGCACTACGCATGTGCATGTGACGTCATGTGTGGATTGGGTTTTGGCTCCTTGCTGGCGTTTCAGGCTTTCGTTTCTCAGTCTGTTCTTTAGGCTTCTGACGACTCGTGTCTTTTGCTATTTCTCTTTTCTGTTCTTACTACTCCTTGCTTTTACTCTAAGTGCCCTTCACACGGCTGTAGGATTGTTGGTTATACGTAACACTGGTCATGCAACACAGAGCACCACACATTATCGTTATAACAAAGAGTTTCATGGCTATACTCCATAGGCAATCATCAGACAACTAACAATACTGCATCTCTTCAGATCAAACAAGGGTATGCAGAAGTTATTTGTTTTGAAACATTTCTAAAATAAAGATACTAACAGAAAACACCACAAAACATGATAAAAGAAAACAGGACCTCAGACATTCTGCACATTCTTCATTGTATCCTAAAAGTGACATTAAAAACTCTATGATGTATTGCGACACAGAGCGAGACATTTCGCTGAAATGCAATAGATTTTCAGAGAAAGGAAAAAGAGCACGCAGCTAACACAATCAATAGAATCATCCTCTGCACATCGAGAATAGGATTGTAAAAATGAGAGTGATCCAAGTACCATGTAGATATACAACTCAGTGCAGGAGTTCATAAGCAAATGCATGCATACACAGACGCATACACATGCATACACATGCATACACATATCCTACGAACATACATAGTTACACACACATACATACACACATACACACATACACACAAACACACACACACACACACAAACAAATGCACACACACACATACACACATATGCAAGCACGCATTCAATCATGCAAGTATGATAAACAGTAATTGGCAATGTTCATCAGTTCATCATCTTAATCAGGCATGTTGGAACTGCTCCAGTCGGTCAGGACTTGGCTGGATCTACTGTTCGCCTGCACAATACATGTTAGCTACTGGCAAGGTTATGCATACTCGATGTGTTACACAACCAAAACTGAAATACTATAGTAAAGCCTGAGCAAACAAAACTGCTAATACTGGTCCTGTACATGTTTCACAGCAGTGAGAAACATTAGTGTAGAACAAGAAACAAGATGCTCCAGGACAACAGTTAGAACATTGTGATACAGTGTTTCCTATAGTTACTAACATACACAGTACCACTGGGTGATACTGCAATGCCGTGCGGATAAGTAAGACAACTGCTTGAACCGAAGGTAGCCACGTGAGAGAATGTGTCAGAAGTGAACACCTAACAGGGTATCACAATGGAAACACACACACACACACATACACACACACATACCGGCATACACACAATACGCACACACGCACGCACACACGCACGCACGCACGCACGCACACACACACACATACCGGTATACACCCATTCACACATTTACACATACATGTACACACATACACACACACACACACACACACACACACACACACACCCACCACATACATACAAAGTCATATACTTCAGAAGTACACATACATTATAATAGAATATAATATACCCATCCAGAGATGATAGAAGGTCCCGAAGGGACCAACAGTGTTCAAGTCACGAGCAGAATCGGGTGTGGCACACGAGAACGCGAACACGCGCCAACCCCCCCCCCCCCCCGCACACGTACACACATAAAAACACGCACCATGCACTCACTTGAACTCATGCACACACACACACACACACACACACACACACACACACACACACACACACACACACACACACACACACACACACACACACACACACACACACACACACACACACACACACACACACACACATACCGTATATTCCAGAGTATAGGTCACACTGGAGTATAAGTCGCTGCCCAAATTGTTTTCCACAAAATACAGACATCAACCCTAGTAATTTATTACCGATCATCGGAGTATAAGCTGCAACCCACATTTTTGAGTGTATTTTGAGCGTTGGAAGTGCGGCATATACATGTACACTGGTAAATATGGTATACAGTGTAACACACAATGAGACAGATTTTATTAGTAAACTTTCTTGCATTTTCAGAGTCAATCTTGATGATGCCCAGGGCCGATTTTTTTTATTTTCTTTATTGCAGTTCAGAGACTGTATGTGTGTGTGTGTGTATGTGTGTGCGCGCGCGCGTGTGCGTGTGTGTGTGTGTATGTTTGAGCAATCCTTTATTTTCTTGCAGGCCTAAAAATACAAACTTTATATTCCAAAGTATACGGTTTGGCCTCTTTTGTCTGTGCTGCACTGGCGAGTCCACTAGGCTGTGTTGACATGAGGCGTTTCAGCCAGGGTCAAGTTTCAACCCACCCTGAACACAGATTGACTGAAGCGTTAATATGCAGCATTGCGCTTGATCCGGGTTGAAATTTCAAACGGGGTGGATTTCAACCCTCCCCTCGGGGGACGGTTGAAATCTAATTCATATTTGCTTTCTTTTCCTAGCTTACTATTGCCGTGGCTGGCTCAACGCCCTTGTCTCAGGGGATTCTGTCCCTGCATTAGCTATTATAGCAATAAAAACTGCTTTATGGCAGTTTTCTAAAAAAAGTTATTGTGTTCTAGTCCATGGACCCCGTCTAAAAAGTAAGAAATTAACGAAATGTGATAGCTGAAAATTAAAATTTCACACAAAACCTCACAATAATCACAACACTTGAAATGCTGCTTTCAACACTAAACTTGTACTCCACCAACAATTGGCAACATGCATGCATAGGAAAGAGGATCACGAGGAGAAAAGGTCTTCTACATGTAGCTTTTCATTCTGTGTGTGATTATTGTGAGGTTTTGTGTGAAATTTTAATTTTCAGCTATCACATTTCGTTAATTTCTTACTTTTTAGACGGGGTCCATGGACTAGAACACAATAACTTTTTTTAGAAAACTGCCATAAAGCAGTTTTTATTGCTATAATTTCTTCTGTTTTTTCTGTCACCAATCAATGAAATGCCCTATCAATATGTACATGATGGCCTTCACATCATATCAATACCGTATTATACGCATTGATGTGCAAGCCTTTTCTTGCAGAAAATGGGACTAGCATGTTCTTCTGCGGGGATACATGTGAGTAGTCGTGGACCGTGGTGATACTTTTTTTTATACGGAGGTCATTCTGTGCATGTTGCTGTAGCAGAATTTCATGACTCTGTCATAAAATTGTCTTGCCATTCAGATATTTCAGATTTCCCCACCCTCGATCAGATTTATTTGAGAAATGTAACCAGGTGCGTGTCGCAGATGTTTTTGTTGATTCTGTGTTTATAATGGTTTATAATCATGGGTTATCGTGATAAGGTCATCCTGCACCATATTGCACTGAAATCGTAACCCTGTTGATGTCTATACAACTTTTGGAAGTAGTTCAATGACTTCGAACTGTTAGTCCACGATTTTCTAAAACAACACAGGAAAGGAGGAACAATAAACATGTATTAAAATGTAAACAAATACATTGCTGAGTCCGACACCTCGTTCCAACAACTACACTAATCCTGAGGATAAAAGGGGCAAGGCTATGGTTGGAGGTACTGAGAGATAAACAAGGCACTCCATAATAATAGAATTGTACACATTTTTTGGTGAGTATGAATGATATCCAGTCGAACCTCTTTAGGACGAACACCAAGGGACCGATGGTATTTATTCTGTGAGTTTGTCTTAACCTATTTTATAACCAGTGAATACAATTATTTCTCCAATAGACATACGAATAGATTTCTTCTACAGCGAAAGATTCTAAGCCACACCAACTCATTGACTCGTCTCGTATGAAACAAATGAGTCACTAGAGAGGTTCTGCAAAACGAAAATGCGTACAAACAGTCGTTCCACGTCCTGAAGTGCGAAACTTCGCACGAACTTTCGCAACTTTGGACGCGAAACTTGCAGGGAACGCGAAATGAACAGTCGTACACACTTTCGTGAGATCGGGTCATGGCGTACGTGCACTTGGCCCGCGCAAACTACGAAAACGTGCAGAACGCAAAGTTTGTGCAAAAATTCGTACACACTTTCGCAATGACTGTCGCGAAACTTCGTTCGAATTTTGGTTTTGCAGAACCTCTCTACTGAACGTTTCTTTAGCAACATGACGGCAACTGAAACAGCAACAGAGAAAGTACGATACATGTACAGCACATTCTTGCAGGTACTACAAACAGATTGCAGATCGTAATTCTTGCCTTGGCGGCACGAAACTTCATTTGGGGCAGTGCAATCTCGGCGGAACTCACAAATAATAAATCAAACAGCCGAGACTCGAGTAAACAAATCTAATCATACAAGTTTACTGAACCTCTCCATAATGGAGATTTTCCCTGATATGCGAATTTATTTTGCAAACTCGGTCAATGGGTCCTTGAACCTTTCCCTCCAGATTGGGAACTGCCAACGATAGTATGCCACTGACCAGTGCCTTACTTGTAACGTACCAATGTACAATGAATATGAGTATTTCGACAACACATCTAACATAAGCCTTACCGTCAAGAAGGTGAACTCGCGTTCTTTGCACACTGTAGACAAGGGCAAAGAGATAAAAATGGATCTAAATCCGAATAAAATCAGCACACGTTTCCGTAAATGAAACGGTGAGCATAAGCAAATGAATCGAAGGAAACCGGTCAACTCAGAGATCACCTGTCATCGAGTATTCCGTAAAAGGGGGCCTCGGCAGCGGAAAAGCTAAATTTAGAAAAGAGATCCTGCCAGCTTTTCCATTATTTATTGCATTCCGCCCAAAATGAGCACACTTTTCGTAAATGAAAGAGTCAACACAAGCAAAAGAATCAAAGGTAACTGGTCAACTCACCTGTCGATATTGAGTAATATTCCGCGAAAGCAGGTCTCAGCAGCGCCGAAACGAAATAAGCCAGGCCAGGATCTAGGAGACGAAATATCCGAAACAGCTCATACAAGAAGCAGTTCCAAAGGAGGAAGTTCCTCGCGCATGCACATCCGAACACGGACTGCACTGCATGCAACACAATGTCTGCCGTGCACGTGCACAGCACGCGGCTACCAACCGTTGGTAGATCTATACCGAGCACCTTACGTAGAGACTTACGTAGCCTAAGTGAAATACCGAGCACCTTACGTAGAAACTTACGTAGCATAGCGGTGTCGTTTTTCTTGCCATGTGAACACAATAATAGAAAAGCTGACAGGATCGCTTTTCTAAATGCTTGTCACATGCTATGAGATTGTGTCTAATAATAATAAGAAATCTTACTACCGTACTTCTGTGCGTATCTCGTGCCATGTTTGAATAGCACTGCACAGGAACATTTTGCGCGAATGCTTTCACGTGACTATATAGGACTCTAGAAGTGGACTTTTGGCGGCATAACAGTATTTGCCGAGAGTCAACTGTCTTGATGTGAGCACCCACTTATTTGTTCCCTTGTACAGACTTTCAATCTGGGTTGAAAATTCTCATGTAAAACAAAAAAACAAAAAGTTCACGGTTCGCGTGAGACTCGGCCAAAGGCCCAGTTTTCCACATCCGCAGGAACGCCACCACCCTCTTGGATCAAGGTGCAGATGCAGCTCCTAAGCGGTGGGAGGTGAGTAGATCAGACCCACCACAAACAAACAAAAAACAAGCCTACGGGCAAAACAATTCTGCCCGCAGAGTACAGGAATTTCTGGGGTGTTCCGCACTTTGAAATGCATACAAAACTGCAAAATCACCCCTGCGGCTAAGACTGGGAATGCTAGGAATGACTACCAGCGCTACAGCACTCTATGAATATACTGCATGTATGGTGTTGTTCAGCTACTCTTCATGCACTGCAGCCCATCATTGTACTGGTGCAAAGCTTCTTAGGGACCATCGCAAAAGTTCGCAGAAGCCCCTGAAACGAAGAGCATACGTTTGGGGGGGAGGGAGTCGTGTCGAAAATCGCAAACCGGGCTTCAATTCAAAAAAGTATTGACGACATAGTATTGTAGGAGCTGATATAGATTAGCATGCCATCACAGCCGGCGTAGCTACGTAGATCGCTTGTCAGGACGCGTAGTCCATTCATGCAACTGCGCGTGTGGGCGTAGCTGGCTGCCTGTACACTGTGTGTAGTCTAGTACTAGTACATGTAGTACCAAGAGTCCATAAAACGCGTGGTTTATGGACTCTTGCTAGTACTAGTACTAGCAGGGGTTCATAGGGTTTATGAACCCCTGCTAGCTGTGTAGTACCTGTATATTATTTAGAAAAGCGATCCTGTCAGCTTTTCTAT